TTGGCCGCTCACTGACGGCGCCGGGGAAAGGTCCACCCCGTCGCTGCGTCTCTCGCGAAGGTTTCGCTCACAGTCGCCTCTGTAGATGCTGGAAGGCGGAGACCAGGGCTTAACCATGGGCGCCTTCTATTTCTCAAAGACACACGCCCAAGAAAAGCCAACATGTGTGCGCGCTTGTGGATATGCACTTGATTTCCGCTCTGTGCGAGATGAGGGTGGTTGAGAGTGCGTTGAGAATGCAACCGAAGCACCAGCCTGAACTCAAGTGTCTTTGAAGGCAAAGCGGCGTCCACCCGAGATCGACGGACTGTTGCGGTGCGCAAAAGAAGCAGCGCGTTCACAGGGGCCACATGGTCGTGGGCTCGGCTGATAAACAAGCACCGGCCGGAATTCAGGTGGGTTGGAAGCCGAAGCGGCCTCCACCCGAGATCGACGAATTGATGAGCTGCGCACAAGAAGGAGCGCGTTCACAGGAGCCACATGGTCGTGGGCTCGGCAGATAAACAAGCACCGGCCTGAATCCAGGTGTCTTAGAAGGCAAAGCGGCCTCCACCCGAGATCGACGGATTGTTGAGCTGCGCACAAGAAGGAGCGCGTTCACAGGGGCCACATGGTTGTGGGCTCGGTTGACAAACCGGGAGTTGGAATCGTGGTGACAGTCGCCACCGCCCTCGCAAACCCTTGGGCTGGGGCCGTCCGAGGCCCAGGCACCGACGGCAGCGGCAAGGGGCCTCTCAAGGGGCCTCTCGGTGCTCCGCTGGGTCGGCAGCCTGGCCCCGGCCGCCCCTCCCGTTCGCTCCGCCGCAGCCGAACGTCGACCACGCGGCCTGCTCTTGCTGCGCTCGCGCCCGCAGCAGGCCGGCCTCCTCGAGGTCGTCCGCTGCGCAACGGCCGGCCCCGCATGAAGGGGCCCCAGGACACACAAATCAATACACACAAATAAAAAGATTCCCCATATTTTCCCATAGTTTCTGGGCTTTTGTCTTCCCCCCCACTTCTCATATTTTCCCATATTTTCTGGGGGATCGACGATTAATTGTGTCTGTGTGTTTTTGTCCCTCCTGACAGCACCCGGGGCACAATCTTGGCGCCGCGGCCTCGCGCCCACCGTCCAGGCCTGAAAGGTCGAAAGGCGCAAAGCGGCAAGCGCGCGCGGCTGGCCCACTCAGAACCCTAGGGCAAGGTTTCACCCAAAGGGGATGACCGTGTCATGCAGAAACTTTGTGGGCCCCGGAAACGGCAGGGCCGTTTTTTCACCGTTTCCAAAAAATAAACGGCAAAAAAACGGCGACCGGAAACTGCAAAAAAACGGCTCCAGGACTGGAACCGGAGCCGGAACCGGTCAAAAAACGGCGACGGAACCGGAAAAATAACGGCGTCGGAACCGGCAAAAAAACTGCAAAACGGGACCGCTAAAAAAACGGCCCTGTCGTTTCCAGGGCCCACTAAGTCCTCGAGGTCGTCCGCTGCGCAACGGCCGGCCCCGCACCCGGGGCACACTTTCGGCGCCGCGGCCTCGCGGCCACCGTCCAGGCCCAGAGGGTCGAAGAGCGCACAGCGGGAAACGCGCGCGCGGCTGGCCCGGTCAGAAGCCGAGGGCAAGGGTTCACGCAAAGGGGTTGACCGTGTCATGCAGAAGCAGGGATGCGGGGGAAAGGCGAGGAGGAAACGCAAGGATAGTACCTACAGCGCGGGCGAGACAGGACGAGGCAATTCGCATCCGGGGCACACGCACTCGCCGATGCTCCGCGACGGGGCCACGAGTGCGAGGGCGACGGGGGTCACAATTGCGGTCGCCACCAGGGCGCGCAGAGCCGTCGTTGTCCCGCGGATGTTGTCTTTCAGGGGGACGCTTGAGACAGGCCCTTGAGCCAAAGTGGCCACAAAAAGACGAACGGAGGGACCAGGGGAATAGGAGGGAGGGAAAAGGAACACAGGGTGCTACAGATGATGGTGATGAAGGTGATGGCGACGGGGCGGAGGACGGGGATGAGGAGGAAAGGGAGGTGTGGGACGAGAAGGGCCATGACGTCGAAGATTAGCAGGGTGAAGTGGGGGGAGAAGGCTGACCATGATGACATGTATGGGTTATGAGGATGCGGGCTGGCGAACAGGAGCCCAGCAGTGGGAGATGTGCAAGGTCACAGGGACGGCAGAGGAGGAGGGTGGAAGAACCTGCTGCCAGTGACGCTCGGGATCGAGAGGACGGCGATGCGAGGGGTGAAACACTGGAACCCCCCCAGCATGTCAGCAATGAAGGTTCTCAGCGCTTGTCTCTCTAAACAGCGGGGCGTGATAGAGAGGAGGAGGAGGAGGGGGAGGAGGAGGAGGAGGAGGAGGAGGAGGAGGAGGAGGAGGAGGAGGAGGAGGAGGAAGAAGAGGAGAGAGCGCCCCCCGGCTTTGCTGAAAGTTGCGCCCGTGCCCGCTCGTGGGCCCCTCTTCGGCGCCCCGTGCGCCGGGTGGGTGCCCCGAGGTTTCGCCACGCGGGCCCCCGTGCCCGGTCAAGGCGCCTCGTGGGCGCCCCGTGCGCCGGGTCGCCGGGTGGGTGCCCCGAGGTTTCGCCAGGTTGGCGCCCGCTGCCACCGCGGAGCTCACACACGACATGGCTCACAGCGCACAACTTTTGTTTTAAAAAGCAGTATATATAAGTATTACTAGTATTATTAGTATTATTATTATATATATACATATGTATATATATATACATGTATATGGACCCCCCCCCAAAAAAAAAAAAAAAACGATGAACAACACTGTTTGGGCCACATGGCGCACACACACACACACCGTAGATTCCCCCTTCCACAAACATATTGGCTCTACCACCCCACCCCCGCCCCCCGGATGTAAAGACCCTTCGGGAACCGAAGCAAAAAACATAGGATTCGAACCCAATGTCCATCCTACCTGTGAACTCACACTTTCCCAGCCAGGCTGGTATCGGCCCCCCCGCCACGTTTTGCAAAAAATACTATGCGTGAGCGCTCGTTCATAAAACCGCAGATTTCCAAAAATCCCGGTGCTAAAAGATCACGAAGTGTGCACGCGCGCGTTGCCGCGCGCTTGCCGAAATCCTTCAAATACCTTCGGTTCCTGAAGGATGTCAGAATCGAGTATCAAAAAACATGCGCGCACTCTGGCGAATTTTCAAAAAAAACAAAAAACAAAAAAACAAAAAAACATGGTTTTCAAACACTTTCACAAACTATTACCGAACGAGCTTCGCGCGCGCATGTCGAAATCGTTCGAACGCCCTTGCGCGCGTGCCGTCGGGAGAATCCCCTGCAAAGAAATGGGACCAAATGCGCGCGCGTCGTCGCGCGCTCATGCCGGACTCCTTCGAGACCTTCAGCTTCGGAAGGACGTCAAAATCGAGCACATGGTTTCGCAGCACTGAGTTTCAACAAAAGCGTGCGCGCTCTTGCGAATTCTTAAGAAAACCACAAATGCTCCCACACGTTCGTAAAAAAACAACATCGCTACGATCATCACCATCGTGTCTACAAGTGTCGACGCTGTCATGATACCGCACCCGCCCAATTCGCCAACTCGCAATCAAGTGCCCGCCTGGATGTGCCGAGAGATCAGCATCACCGGGCCGCGTCGGTTGCGCCAAACTACCTGGCCGCTGCGCGCGCGCATGCGCGGACTGGCGCGGCCGCAGAGATTCACCAGCCAGCGCCAAGGACTCCAGGTGGCAATCTCCGCCTCATGAGATTTGCAAACCGAGTTGCGGGTGGGTGGGTGGGGTGTTTGCTCGAGCAGTGGAGTGGACAATTCACTGCGAACAGAAAGTACTTCCACACCATCGATTGCACCACATAGCTTGCACCGCAAAGCTCACACCACGTAGCGAAATCCACATTGCGTGTCATACCTTACACCTCAGAAACCAGATCGCTTACCGTTCACCACGTAGCTCACTCCGCATAGCTTTCATCACAACACCCTAGCTCGCACAAGATTGCCTACATCGCATAGCTCGCAAATCATGTCGAACACCAAACAAATCACACCGCACAGCGCACACGACCTAGCTGGCACAGCATAGCGTGCACGAGGTAACTAACACTTCATAGCGTACATCGCACAGTTCACACCAAATAGCTCACATCGCGTCGCTTAGATAACATAGTTGAGGCCGCATAGCTTACATCTCATCGCTTGCACCGAATATATTACAACCCCTCGCTTGCATCGCACAACTTTCACTGCGCTGTGTTGGGTCCACGATAGCTAGCATAAGGAAAATGATGTTTAATAAAGGCGCATGGCTGCTACGCCCTCTTGCTTGTCCTGCTCGATGCAACAATCAAACACCTCACTATCGCCAGCCCCTTATGCCAAACTATATTCACCAGCATCACCAACGTTACCATCGTCACCAACGCCGTCATCATCGTCCTCATCCTGGGACTCACCCGCATCGTCTTCATCCTCCCCCTCATCCTGACGATCCCAAGCGCTCTTATCCTCGCTCACCTCGTCCTCGATTGGGTGCCTGTGGGCTACTTGTTGATGTTGCACCGCTTCAACGTCTGTGGTGCTTTGAGTCAGCGTCTAGGGCTCGAGCGTGTACTGTGTCAGTGCCTCTTGAGCTTCAATGTGCACGAGTTCAGCACCAGGATTGCATGGTGGAGCGAAGAGGGACCGATGCCCGCGCTTCCTGGACCTCTCCAGGGGCACGTTCGAATACAGCTTCGGAGAGGATCCAGCGGTGGCGACGAGGACTCTCCGGGACAGGCGGCGGCATCGGCGCCTGTTCCTCCTCCGGCTCTGCATGTGCACTGCACGGGCGCCACGAAACACACCCAGGCATCCAGCGTCGCACTCACGGCCATCCCCAACCTCTCGATCCCCTTCCCCAGGACGGGCCTCTCCTCCCGAGTCGTTTTGTTGACGGCCCCAGGCCCAGAAGGGCTCCCAGAGGCCGAACACGGTGAGATGTCTGGGCAGGGTGGTGGCGAGACCTCCGTGCTCCGATGCGGCGGGAGCGGGTCCTGGTGGCGGATGGAAGAGCACGTCGTCGGGGTCCTGCCCCAGCCCCAGCACCTGCAACGGGCCGCGGCGAGAGGCTGGGCCAGCTTGCCGGCCCTCTGGGCACGCCCTCTGCGGTCGGACCCACGCCAGAAGCGCGCCCTTCAAGAACATGAGACCCTTCGTCGGCCAAAACAACCATAACATCACAGGTTTAACCCCCAGGGAGCACAGGAACGTCCAACAGGCACCAAGGACACTAGGGCACCCTCCCCAAACCGACCTCGATCTTCTACCTCGCTCGGACTGTACCCCCAAACCCACTCCACATCGCTAGGAGAAGCAAAAGCGGGCGACCATCGAGGGAGGAGTGGAGGAGGCAGGAGGGGCAGCAGCGGTTGCAGGAGGAGAGGGGGGTGGATATACTCATGTGTCCTCTGACATGGGCATGTCGACCCCTGTCCCCCACTTTGTGGGACTTCGGAATGGACCAGAAAACTGCGGGCCAACCTCGGTGATGCACGAGTGGGGGAACCCATCCTCTACAGGGGGGCTTCTGGATAGCCCCCATGGGGTTGTATCTCCAGGTTCCCCACCTTGACTGATCGAGTTTCTGTTTCGGGGGAGGGCCAGGGAGTGGGGCCGAGAAAGCGCCTGCGATCCCCGGCGCTAGGGCCAAGAGAGAGCCACAGACGTCATAGCTGCTGCGGATGAAGAAGAATGTGGAAGAATGCAAGATTTGATTGCATGGCTCCCGTCCCAAAACTCCTCCCCAGAGGCCCCGTAGAGCCTCCCGAAGAGACACCAAGAAACATCCCTGAGGACTTTGGCCCACGTCAGCGTCGCCGTCGTCACCGCCGCGGGTGTCGTCGTCGTCGCTCTTCAGGGTTGGCAGCACCCGCCGGCCATAAGGCCTTCGCAAGAAAATAAGCACAAACCCGAGTGTTCAATAGATTGTCACATGTGTTCTGGATGTTCGTTTTCCCCCTGCACTTCCCTTGGTTTCCCAAATGCTCCTGGAAATCGACGGTTACCTGTGTCTGTGTCTATGTTTGCCTCCTGAGGTGTTGACCTCCAGCCATGATGCCCCAGCAGGGTAAGATATGAGAATATTTCGGCGCGTTCGGAGGGGTACATCCAGCGGCGAGCCAGCAATTTCGGTCACAACTTCGGTCACACCACGTGTTCGGTCACGGTTGCGGACTCGTTTGTCGGTCCCCGATTGCTTCAGTCGCATGCCTTGTCGGCCGATGGGGACTGGGCACCATGAGGATGCAGAAGGTGGTGCTGCACACGCTGCTGTGACTGACACGAAGAACCCTGCTGTCACCGCGCACCTCAGAAGGTGTGAGAGCGCACAACAGCAGCAGTGCGCGTGCCACGTCTTGGCAGGGTGGGGTTCTGCGCGGGCGCGGCTCGGTATGCCGAGTTGTACTTGAAGGCCGTGAACTCAGGCACCTGGGGCCAACAGCGCTTACGGGCTCCCCTTTCAATCGAACAGAAGCGCGCAGGCGACCTCTGCGGTCCAGGGAGGAGTGGACGATGGCCTTGGGTGTTGGTCATGCCCCACCGGGAAGCGAGTACCAGACCCCTTCCCTTTCACAGGTCTTAGCAGCGTCTGAGGAGTGGCTTGGGGGAGCCCGTTCGTTAACGTATCCTGTCCTGCGGAAGCTGCGTGGGCTGGCGGCGAGAGTACGACAAGGCCCTCCAAACTCCTGCTCCCGCCCGTGTTGCTCTTCCTGCTGCCGGTCCTCCACCACCTCAGTATGATCTCCCTCCCCCATCCTCCCCTCGCACTTGCTTTCCCACCTGCCACTCGAAATCCTCTTCGTGCGTCTCGCACCTGCCACGCATCATGCTCATCATCCTGCTCCTCCAGGCTGATCCTACCCAGCCAAATAATCGTCGTCCCCCTCAACCTCCTTTCTCGTTGCCGAACTCCTGCAGCATACTTGCAATCTGCGCACGCCTGCGTGTAATATCCAACGGGCACGTTGGCGCTGTAGGTGCCTGCGGCTCTGAGATGGGAGCGAGATCACCCTCGCCTCTCGGAGGACAGGGAAGGACAGGAGAGAACGATGAGCAGAAGAAGGAGAACAGACGAGAAGAGCGAAAAGGGGCAGGGCACCGACAGGGAGCACGAGGAGGCGGTGGAGAGGGACGAGGGGCGGGAGAGAGAGCGAAAGAGAGAGAGAGAGAGGACAAGGACGCGGAGAATGCCCCCCAAAGCGGACAGCCTGGCCAGATAAGTCAAGGGGTGATCTTGCACCCCCGCGTTGACTTTTCTTGTGCGGGCCCGATCTTGGATCTGGACTTGCCCCCGCGGCTGCTTCCGGGAGGACCGTGGAAGGAGTCCCGCGCCCGCGGGCCCTCCGCTCCTGCAGGAGCAGCGCCCGAGGCTGCGACCGCGGAGAACAGCACAGAGGCCCACGGGAGAGCAGACGAGGAGGCACAAGGGTATCGGGAGCGGCCAAGGAGGGGGGTGTCCAAGAGGGGGGGGGTGCAAATCATGACCGGCGGCATGTGCGCGGCCCAGCGGGGGGGCCAGGGACGTGATGAAATAAGAAGAGGCGCCACGAAATCTGGGGAGAAATCCTGGCCCCCGCCATGATATCCACCCCCCCTTGTCATCAGCCCCCTCTTTTCCGCCCCCGAGGGTACCGATGCCGCGCGGAACCCCCCGGGACCTCTTTCGGGGTGCGCTCTGGCCAGGACTCCGAGGCGCTTCCGGCGGTGGAGAGACGGGCGACGGGTAGCCTCCTCATCCTCCTCCTCCTCCTCCTCCTCCTCCTCCTCCTCCTCCTCCACCTCCGCCTCCTCCGCCTCCTCCTCCTCCTCCTCCTTCCCTCCTCCTCCTCCTCCTCCTCCTCCTCCTCCTCCTCCTCCCCTGCCTGGTCCTCCTCGGAGCAGGTGCCGCCGCCCCGGGGACGGGCGGCGCGGGGCTGGGGCGCCCGCCTGGCTTGAACAGGAAGGCGAACCGTCTGGAGGAGAACTGGCCGTGGTTCGCCTCGCCGCCGTTCTCCTCCCGGGCGGTGCGCCCGGAAAGGCAACGCCACAGGATGGCTTTGGAGACCTCTCCGGGGCCGTTCGAGGATCATGCGCCGACGCTGCGTCGAACGCGAGTCGACGACTTGAGTCGCGCCCGAATGGAACTTGAGTCGAGCTGAACTAGAATCGTGCCAGACTCGAATCAGAGTCCCACGGGTCCGTCGGGTGGGCCCGCGGGAAACAATCCAACGACACCACTCTCTCCGAGGAGTGCGTCGCCCAGGGGACGGAACGCAACGAAGTCTGAACGCGGCGCGGGAGGAAGGTGCGGGCAATAGTTACATCCACACCCAGTGCATCTTGGAGTCTTGGGCTCTCTTCCCCAGAAACCGTAGTCGCACTGGATATGGATAAAAATCTGGCCCCAAGAGGCTCGATCTTATCCATATCCAGTGCGCCTCGGCGTTGCGGCACCTCTTCCCGAAACGCCCAAGACGCTCTGGATATGGACATAAGTACTGCCCGCAGAAGGGGGTCCCACAGCCGAGGCCGCCCACAAGGGGAGGGCAACATATCCTGGAGATTTTACGCTCGGGTGCCAGGCCCCCAACCGCCGAGGCCGCCCACCAGGGGAGGGCAAAAACGTCCTGGGGACTTCCTCTCGAGTGCGTGCGCGGCCTGCGGCACACGGCAGTGCCAGCAGTCCATCGATCTCGCAGTCCTCCGTCGCATCCTCCCGGCCCCGTCCCCCCTTCGTTCTGTCGTTCCCTCGTCGCCTTCGGCAAACCGGCCCTCGAGCACGAGTATGCGAAAACGGCAAAAAAAACTCCACATTCCCGTCATCGCCCGTGCTCGCATGTCCTCCTCATCCCTCCGCCTCTACAGCAGCCTCTGGAGGCCTCCAGGCTGTCAAACCCTGTGGAATGATAGACTCCCAACCCTTTTGACATCATCGACCCTCAACCCCCTGAAGATCCGAGGCGCGTGTTTCCCCGATCGACCCTCGCCTCTTCTCATATCCCTCCTCCTCTTGACCCATCACTCCCGTCTCCTTCCCCCGCTCCGATCCCCTGTTTTAGTCAGCCCCGTCTTCCTGCTGGATTCTCCTCGGCCTGACCCTAGATTCACCTAGTCCCCATCTTAATAAAAGCTGCATCTCACAAGGTGCCTCTCCTGCGCGATCCACCCTCCTTCTGAACAGATTCCTCGTAATCGTACCCCGAATTCCCTATCACGCATCCTATCATAGGTGGTCAATATGCTTCCTCCTGCATTCAGCCCACTCTCCTTTTCGACCAACTTCTTCTCCTCCTCCTCCTCCTCCTCCTTCCTCCTCCTCCTCCTCCTCCTCCTCCCTCCTCCTCCTCCTCCTCCTCCTCCTTCACCTCCTCCTCTGTCTACACTCCTCAGTCCCACGCCCCCTTCCTACACTTCATCCATCTTCTGCAATCCTGACCCGAGCTCGTCCTCTGAACGAGCCATGATCATCCACCTCACCCTCACATTCCTTGTACGGTTTCGTCTTTACTCGTCGTCCTCCTGGCACGTAGCAGAGGCGCACCTGGATCGGGTGAAGCAACATGTTGGACAGCAGCCCTCGCTGCTGGGACGAGAAGTGTGGCAGCCGCATCTGATATGGGCGTCGGGAAACAAGCAAGGTTGCAAAAGAGAGCGGAGACAATGGCCACTCGTCGTCCTCCTGTTCCTTGTCCTCCCCTGGGTCCTCCTCCTCCTCGTCCTCCACCCGGTTCCTCCTCCCCCCCCTCCTGACCCTGTCGCCACCTGAATCAAAGAGGAGGCGAGGCTGTACGGCTGCGGCGGAGGGGGTCTGCAGACCCAGACCCTCACGTGTGGCGCTGCGGGGGTGCGCGAACGGTAGAGCAACCGACCACATCATAAAGAGTCCCCCCTCGTGAAATTGTTCCCAACCATCCTGTGGTGTTGAGTCCTCGTTTTGAAGAGACAGCGCCCCGCGTTCTCATTCCTCCTCCCGCACCTACCCCTCCTTCCCATCCCCCCTCCTCCTCCCCCTCCTCCCTCCTCCCGTGACCCCCTCACTTTGGCACACCCCTCACACGTTCCGTGGCCCCATAGGGAGCTCCACCGAAAGCTCCAGTGGCGCAGCCCGCATGCTTCTTCCACACCCAGTACAGCGCTCTGTGGCCCCAAGGGGAGCTCCACCGATGGTCCCAGTGGCGTAGCCCGCATGCGTCTCCCACACCCAGTACCCAAGGGGAGCTTCACCGAAGGTCTCAGTGGTGCAGCGCGCATGTGTCTCCCACACCCAGTACAACGTTTCGTGGCCACATAGGGAGCTCCACCGAAGGTTCCAGTAGCGCAGCCCGCATGCGTCTCCCACACCCAGGACAGCGCTTCGGGGCCCAATAGGGAGCTCCACCGAAGGTCCCAGTAGCGCAGCCCGCATGCGTCCCCCACACTGAGTACAGCGTTTCGTGGCCCCAAGGGGAGCTCCACCGAAGTTCCCAGTGGCGCAGCCCGCAGGCGTCTCCCACACCCGATACAGCGTTTCGTGCCCCCATAAGGATTTTCACCTCGGGGAGCTCCTTCAAAGGTCCCAGTGTCGCAGCCCGCAGGCGTCTCCCACACCCAGTACAACGTCTCGAGGCGCCGTAGGGAGCTTCACCTCGGGTAGCTCCACCGAAGGTCCCAGTGGCGCAGCGAGCAGGCGTCTCCCACACCCAGTACAGCGCGCCGTGGCCCTGTAGGGAGCTCCACCGAAGGTTCCAGTGGCGCAGCTCGCATGCGTCTCCCACGCTCTTCGTGGCCCCATAGGGAGCTTCACTGAAGGTCCGAGTGGCGCAGTCCGCATGAGTCCCCCACACCCAGTACAACGTTTCGTGGCCCCATAGGGAGCTCCACCGGAGGTCCCAGTGGCGCCGCCCGAATGCGTCTTCCACGCCCAGTACAGCGCTTCGTGGCCCCATAAGGAGCTCCACCGAAGGTTCCAGTGGCGCAGCCCGCATGCGTCTCCCACACCAAGTACAGCGCTTGTTGGCCCAATAGGGAGCTCCACCGAGGGTCCCAGTGGCGAAGCCCGCAGGCGTCTCCCACACCTAGTACAGCGCTTCGTGGCCCTGTAGGGAGCTCCACCGAAGGTCCCAGTGGCGCAGTTCTCCCCAGTACAGCGTTTCGTGGCCCCATGGGAGCTCCACCGAAGGTTCCACTGGCGCAGCCCGCATGCGCCTCCCACACCCAGTACAGAGCTTCATGGCCCCATGGGAGCTCTACCGAAGGTCCCAGTGGCGCAGCCCGAATGCGTCTCCCCCATCAAGTACAGCGTTTCCTGGCCCCACAGGGAGCTCCACCGAAGGTCACAGTGGCGCAGCCCGCATGCGTCTCACACACCCAGGACATCGCTTCGTGTCCCCTATGAGAAGCTCCACTTAAAGTCCCAGTGGTGCAGCGAGCATGCGTCTCTCTCACCCAGACAGCGTTTCGTGGCCCCGTGTAGAGCTCAACCGACGGTCCCAGGGGCGCGGCCCGCACGCGCATCCCCCACCCAGTACAACGCTTCGTGACCCCATAAGGAGCTCCACCAAAGGTCCCAGTGTCGCAGCCCGAATGCGTCTCCCCCGCTCAGTACAACGTTTCGTGGCCCTACGCGGGGGCACCAACGAAGATGATACCTACAACTGCGGTACTCACAAGTGCGGATGGTCGGGACATTCGCCAGGCTAATGTTGTATGAGTTCCCGCAGCTGTCGTTGCGGGTTTGGGGCCCAAGTAACGTTAACGATTCGACGTGGGTTCGCTGCAGTAGAAGGCAACTGGCAAGTCTTCGTAAGAATGATGCGAGGCTATTTGAGCCGAACTGTTTCGGATTCAGCCAAGGGAACGGGGTGACACCATATTAAACTGGATGAAGTCAGGCCAGACGGTGCCCGATAATGCCCGATCAGGCAAGTCTTCGACCACGGATACACCAGCGCCGATGCTGAAAATAACCTCCCAGAAGTTGTACCCTCAGCTGCGACCGCCACAATATGCGCGCGAGCCCAATCATGTGGGCGGGGGTCATCGCCCCACCACCCCCGCGTACGATTGCTACTGTTACCTGGGGGAAGGGGGGGGGGCGGGTAACGACAAAAGCGCGCCAGATGACACAAACTCATTCCCCACCCCCCCGCGCTTCCAGCTCACAAGCTCCCTCGCACCCCACTCCCCCATCCAGCACGTCAGATACACGTAAAAAGCCGACACCGCGACAGAGCGCGCAGTGGAGCTCAGCGGACCTCTGGGCTGGGGCGGGGCAGAGCGCGCCCTCGTCCAACCATCACATTCCCCGTGGGGGGGAGGGAGAAGGGGCCCAGGGGCACACAAGGAAGTACACACACACACACACCTCTCAGGATTCCTCACGTGGTTTCGTGCTCTTGGTGTTCGTCTTCGCCCCCACCTCCCGTAGTTTCCCCATATGTTCCTGGGAGTCGGCGATGTTATGTGTGTCTGTGTGTTTTCTTCCCCTCCCGAACGTTACCCTATCCCCCCAAATCCCCTCCCCGGGGTCTGGACGCGGCGGGGCACGATGGGGTTGCCGCGCCCAAGACTTCCCAACACGACCTCCGAGGTGGACCCGATGGCCCAAGAGGACCTCCGAGGTGGCTCCAAGATTGCACCCGATGGCTTAACACGACCTCCGAGGTGGAACAGCACGAATCAGGATGGCGAACTATGACATCCACAGTGCCTCCAAGAGGCCTCAATGCACCACCCAACCCCAAAGTGGCTCCGCGTGGCCACAGGGCCTCCCAAGGAGGCACCCGGGATGTTACCATCCCCCTCACCACGAAACCGAATGACAACCAACTGTGTTTGCCATTCCAGTTTTCCGCTTCCGATTAGCTTTGAAGTCTCCAGATGGCTCCAATATGGCAAACAAGAGCCCAAAGAGGGGCACAGAAGGACCCCAAGACGGCCTCCGTTATGCTAACAAGTATCCCAATAGCGCTCCGAGATGGCCCTAAAAGACGATTGCTCGAGCACCAGATGGGCGGGGGCTAATTGAGGACACCCTGAATGAGTTGATCGGCGTCCTCCAAAATGGCCCCGAGAGGGCCCCCAAGGCTACCAAGATGACCCAAGCAGGCCCCACGGGAGCCCAAACGGCCCCAAAAATGGCCCCAACAGGGTCCAATATTGGCTTGTTGAGGCGTGCAGGGGAGCTCCCAGAGCGACAGACACGTCAAGGCCTTGATGGACGACTCATGTCGTCGTTGTCTACGTCGTCGTCGCCGTCGCCGTCGTCGCAAACGTAGTCATGACCGCTACCTTTCTTCCACGTCATCATCCTTATCATTCTCCAACTCCCTTATGCTCCGGATGATCCTCCCCATTCCCTTCTCACACTGCCTCCTCGCCATAATCCTCGTCTTCATGTAGGGTTTACCAGAAACTGAGCGGAACTTGTTCCATATGATTCCTCGTAATGTTCCCGAACATCACGTTTCATCCTCTTCCTTAGCATTATAACACATACCATGTCAGCATTATGTACATATGCCTCATGTTCCATTTCCTTCCACTGAATACTGCAACCCCTTTCCTGGTCAGGGCAGCTCGCATGGGGATCCATCCTGAACGGGCTGGTGAGTGGGGGTAACTAGTTTACACGACACGTCAATGATACATCATCTGGTCTATACAGCGGGCCCACTGCGGGCCTTGTGCCATGTTCGAAACTCTGGGGGATGGGGCATGCTAGCTGGTTGACGGGCAAACCATGAGGTGGCAACCCATGGGAGCCTCCCGTACCATCTTGTCGGCTCTCGCGAATCGACGAGAATCGATGCTACCTCGACGCTATCCGACGCTAAATTGGTGCTACCCCATCGACTCCAGACGTTTATCGACGCGAATCAACGTTAGAGGCAAGATTAAGAGGACAGACCGAGCTCCCATGATTTGCCACCGAAGAATCATGAGGGGGAAGGGAACTATCGGGTCCCCACTTGCTCGGTTATTTCAAGCCTGTGTCGCATCCGACAGGCCTCCAAAACAACGCAAGACTGCCTCCGGATGGCCTCAAAACGGCCCCGACGGCATCAAGACGGGTGAGAACAACACACGTGCGATGGGAGAGCAAGCGCGGAGATAACACAGCTAATCGAAAGAGCAAGAACTGACACACAAGCGTCGCTCGAACATGTGGCGAAGGTATAGCCCAAGTATTTGTTGGCTGGCGGAACCGTCGTGCTCGCTCGAGCGGTGTGCGCGCGCCTCACCTCGACACGCCTCAGGGCATATGACAGACGTGTCCTTCCCCTCCTCAAGTTCTTCCCCCCTTCCCCCCAGCCAGCGCTTCTGACGCGGAGTCGGCAAACGCGCAAGTTCTTGTTTTTGACCTCGACAGGCCTCACCACATCAGCCAGAGGCGGTTCCACACAGCATCTGCGGGAAATGCTGTGAGCTTAACGCACCGTGCAGCAGGCGCAAACAAAAGGCGACCTCGCCTCGGCGAGAGCCGCTTTGGGGCGGGGGCTTCGCGAGATCCTTTCGGAACGCCCACTATGGCCCCCGCCCCTCGCGGATCGACCCCTCGGCTCGGCCGCCGACAACAGGGTATCAGTCAGCTGCACAAGACATCTACCACTTCTGCACAGACAAAAACGCAAGGGAGTGGCAGGGCGCGAGCGCGAGGCCTGCCCCAGAGACCCAAGCCACAGTGGCCCCTCACTGGCACACTCAGCCCACGGGGACCGAGCTACAGCAGGACGGGGGCCAGGCCGAGCGCTATGGGCGAAAGACGTCCGAGGCTGCCCGACCCAAGAAGCTGAAGCGGGCCGCGTCAGTCAGGCGGCAGCGCTCTACACAGGAGCGCAGCCGGTCGGGGAGGGAAACAGCGAGTTGGCACGGATGCGGGAGGCAGGACGACGGCGGCCACGAAGAGAAAGGCAGAGCGAGAGAGAGAGAGAGAGACCTGTACATAAACGGCACACAACATAAGCCAATATAGAAACAAACAAGGACCAGGCTGGTCAGGAGAGGAGCAGGAGGAGGAGCAGGAGGAGCAGGAGCAGGAGCAGGAGGAGGAGCACGAGGCACGGGGGAAGGGGAGGAGAGAGAGGCAGGAGGAGGCGCACGAGAGGCAGGAGGAGGAGGGGCAGAAGGGGGCGAGAAAAAGGAGCCGCAGACAAGCAGGGGCCTGACCAGAAGAGAGAGAAGGGGGCGGCACCCACGACGGGACACACTGGACCGGGTGCCGGTGCTGCGGCCTGCCCTGCCGCCCGACCCTCCCCCGTCCTGCCGTCTCGCGTAGGAGGAGGAGGAGGCGGAGGAGGAGGAGGAGGAGGAGGGAGGACGAGGAGGAGGAGGCGGAGGAGGAGGAGGCGGAGGAGGAGGAGGAGGATGTCCAGCCCACGCGCCCCCGCTCCTTGAAGGCAGCGTTGACGGCGCTCTCGATGTCGGCCGACGAGTCCTGGGAGGGTCGTCCCGGGCGCATCGGCAGAGGAGGGCTGCGGGCGACAGAGAGGGGAGGGAGGGAGGGAGGGATGGGGGAAGCCCTGCCCTCTCCCGCATCCTCCTGCTCCTGTTCCAGACTCCTCCCCCTCACCCCCTGCTCCTCCTCCCTCTCCTCCTCCTCGCTCTTCGCCCCCCTTTACCCACTTCTCATCCTTCTCCTTCTCCTTCTCCTCCTCCTCCTCCTCCTCATCATCATCATCACCATCATCATCATCAGCAGCAGCATCAGCATCAGCATCAGCATCATCGTCATCATGATGATCATGGTGATGATCATGATCCTCATCATCATCAGCAGCATCATCACCATCAGCAACACCATCAGCATCAGAAGCAGCATCAACAACATCAGCATCATCAACGTCGCCAGCATCATCTACTTCATCATCACCGCAGCATATTTCTTCTCCCACGTCCCTTCTCCTTTGACAAAGTCTCCCCCTCATCATCATCCTCATCTTTTCCCTCCCCCCCTCCTCCTCCTCCTGTCCCCACTACGCGTCCCCCTCCACCTCCCCTCCACCACCTCTTCTGCGTCCTCCAACTCCTCATCCCTCTCATCTAGCTTCTAGTCCCCATCCCATCCCCGTGCTCTTCTTCTTCCTCCACCTCCACCTCGTCGTCCTCCTCGCCCACAACTGCACGCGAAGGAGGACCACCACGTGGGAAGGCTTGGCTCTTTTCTCCCTGCGCGTGAAGAAAGGGGGGATAAAGGGAGGAGGGATGAGGAGGAGAACGAGGAGGAAATGGAGGAGGGACGTGGAGGAGGAAAAAAGAGCGAGGACGAAAAGGAGGCAGAAGGCCAAGGGGAGAGCGAGGAGGAGCGAAGGGGAGGAGAGAAGGACACGAGAGGCGAGGAGGCGGAGGAGAGGAGGCGCCGACGGGGGCAGCGGGCAGGGGCAGGGGCGAGGTGGCTGCAGGAGCAGTTGGGGGCGCGGAGGGGCGAGGACGACGAGGAAGGAGGGACGGAAAGAAGAGGACGCGGATCGAGGACCCGCAGGGAAGGCCGCGGCAGCTCCTCCGGCCCGAAGACGCGCACGCTGTCCGGCCAGACGGGGGGGTTCGGCTGGGGGCCCTGGGGCGCGCGAGCCGGCGCCCAGCCGGGCGGCGGGCGAAGGACGAGGGAGACGGCGAGCGAGAACCGGCGACGGGGGCGACGGCGATCGTCTTGCCGCCGTCATCCTTCCCTTCTCCCCTCCCTCCACGCCTCCTCTCCCTCCATCCATCCATCCTTCCGTCGTTCGCTCGGTCCCTCCATGGTTCCCTTCCCCTCCTTCCCTCACACCCTCCCTTCCTGCCTCCTGCTTCTCCTCCCTCCTCCTCCTCCCCTCCCACACCTCCCTGCCACCAGAGTCGTGTTCCTCGATTATGCCTCCTGCTCCTCATCCTCCACCTCCTCGTCTTCCTCTACCTCCCACTATTCCGTACCTTCCTCCTCCTCCTCCTCCTCCTCCTCCTCCTCCCTCCTCCTCCTCCTCCTCCTCCTCCTCCTCCTCCTTCCCCTCCTCCATCACCTCGGCCTCCGTCTTCGCATTTCTCGCCTCCATATTGTCCTCAGCCTCTGCCTCCGCCATCGCATACGCCTCCACCACCATCCTCTCTCTCCATCACTATCCACCACGTCATGCCCTGCCCCTCTCACCTCCTCATCCTCATCCTTCGCCACCTGATCCTCCACCCTGCTCACGCACTTTCCCCGTCGCCTCACTCAAAGCATACACCTTACCTTCATCATCCTCAGTATCTTCTTCGTTTTCAGTTATCTCTCTTCTGCCCCTCTCCCCATCCCTCCCCCACCCCCCTCCCCCTCTTCCCCTCCTCTTGATCCTCCTCCACCTCATCCCTCCTGCACCTCTTCCTCCCTCTCCTCCTCCTCGTACTCCCTCCGACTAGCCGCATGACGTCGAACTGCTCATCCGCTTCCTCCTCCTGCTCTCACCCTCCCTCTCCATTTCCCTCCCTCCCTCCCTGTGTCCCTCTCTCTCCCCCTCCCTCACCGTGGACGCCAACCTAGCGACAGTGGGAGTCGCGTATAATCCACTCATGCGCGTCACTCATTGGATGAGAGGAACGCGTCGGCGGTGGCGGCGGCGGCCAGAGCCCGAACGCTGGCCGAGGGCAGAGGAAGAACTGGAATGCATAAACAACAACTCTTTGAGGTCCGCGCGGCTTTCTTGGATCTCCCTCCCTCCCTCCCTCCCCTCCTCCCTCCTCCTCCCTCCCTCCCTCCCTCCCTCCCTCCCCCCCCCCCTCCCTCCCCCCCCCCCCTTGCGCTGAACCCACCTCCCTTGCGCGCGGAGCGCGGTGAGGGCGGCGCATCTGGCGCCGGCAAGAGGGCCCACTGCCGATCCAGGAAATCCAGGAGGAACTCCGAAGGCTGATGCTTGTGCAATGTGTGTTTCCCTTCGAGAGGGAGGCCGCCTCGGACTTCGGGCTCGGCCTTCCCCTGCCGTGAGGAACAAAAACACTCCGGGGTACATCGGCTATTTCAGGGCTGAACCTGAACAATGCTTTCGTTTTCGTTGTGTTTTCGTTTTCCCTCGTTCTGTCTTCAATACCTTGAACGCAAAACAAATTCGACACGAAAACGGCCCACGAAATCGCGAAAACACCGTTGAGGTCCACCCCTGGGTTATGTAATCGATCTTCTCCTCGAGCTCTTAGAGAGCAACTCACGCACGAAAACTGTCGGTCGTCCCCAGGGCACCCAAGAGCGCGGCCGCGCCCAGACGCGCGCAGAGCGGGCATAATGCATGTGGGCGCCATTCGGCGCTGCTGGGCGCCATTGGGTGCTGGTTGGCGCTTTTGAGCGCAACTCGGCACCATGCCTCGACATGCATTCGATCCAAGACGAGCGGAAGCTTTCGTGATTTGCTGTCTAAGGGTTCGGCTCATGGCTCATGGGCGCAGGCACCCGTCCCCTAATTTCGGCGGCGAGCGAGAGGGGGAAGTGAGAAGGAGATGGCATTCTCAGAAGGCGGAGGGTCTCCTCAGAAGCCCTCGCGCCTTCTGGGAGGCTTTCTGTGTCCTCGGGGGAGAAACTTGCCAGACGGCCAGGGGACTTCTGAGCCTTCTGGGAAGGCCTTCGCCTTCTCCCTTCCCCCCTGCACTCGCCGCCGATTCATCGGTCGGAAGAACAATGTAGAAACATAAAATAGGAAGGCGTTGGAAATAGATTGTGTCTCCGCCTTCCCCCTGCAACATAAGGAAAACGTGAAAGCACTCGACTCTTGAACTCGGAAGGCGCCTAAAGTATAATAGGATCTGGGACAAAGAACTACCTACTTTCAACGACCCACGTGTAATTGGATAATATGTTATAACCCGGGTGATCTTTGGGGGGGAGTAGGGGGAGGGGCCGGCCGAGAACCTAAACTTCGAGCTCCCTGCGCCCCCACTGGACCTTGCTCAACTGGACCTCGCCCCAGGGAGGGGCGGGGGGCGAGCCCGCCAACTAGGTTACCGCCGCACCCTAAAACAAAACATTATCTTACCACGCGCTCCCCCCCCGCAAAGGGGAAATCAAAAAGCACCGACACCGCTCCCCCCCGGACTTCTCCCGGGGCGCTTCCAAACCCGGACTTCGAGGCGCATCCGGCGGTGGCGACGAGGGCCTCCCCGGAGGCTCGCACAAGCGGCAAAAACGGGCGAGGGGTCTTCCTCCTCCTCCTCCTCCTCCTCCTCCTCCTCCTCCTCCTTATCCTCCTCTGGATGGGGTGGAGGAGGAGGAGGATGAAAGGGAGGAGGACGAGGAGGAGGAGGATGAAAGGGAGGAGGACGAGGAGGAGGAGGAGGAGGAGGAGGAGGAGGAGGAGGAGGAGGAGGCGGAGGAGGAGGAGGAGGAGGAGGAAGGGGGAGGAGGAGGAGGAGGAGGAGGAGGGGGAGGAGGAGGAGGAGCGGTAGGGGTGGGTAGCCTCTCCTCCTCCGACGCGGGGCGCCGTGGAGGCGGCCCGAGGCACCCGGCCTCGCCGAGGCGCGCCGAGGGGCGGAGCCGCCGCCAGCCTCCGAGGCGCGCGGTGGCCTCGGCCGCGCGGGGCGTGGGCTCACCGGGCGCAGGCGGCGCCCCCCGGCAGAGGAGGCCCCGGCGCTGCCAGAGCAGGGGGCCACCTGCGAGCCCTGCCCCGACCCTCCACGATCGGGGATGGACAGAACCCCCTTTAGTAAAACGTGGTTTAGTGAAAACGACCTGAGGCCCAAACCTGGCGGGCGCAAGCCTGGAAAAGAACGGCCGCGGCGAACTCTCGAGAACCGAAAACGGACAATTCACTAATCGACGTGTCACTATTGGGGGTTCTGTCCGCCCCCGACACGACTTCTGAGTGGGAGGGTGGGGCTCACTGCGCTCGGGAGCTCCCAGACGAAGGGAGCCCCGCCCTCCCCCTCAGGAGTCGTGGGGGGTAGGGGCTTTGTGGTCCCCGGAAACGGCAGGGCCGTTTTTTCACCGTTCCGGGGACCACAAAGCCCCTATCCCCCACGACTCCTGAGGGGGAGGGTGGGGTTCACTTCGTCTGGGAGCTCCCAGACGAAGTGAACCCCACCCTCCCCCTCAGGAGTCGTGGGGGGCAGGGGCAGGGCTCGCATGTGGCCCCCGACCCTGGCAGAGGAGGCCCCGCGCTGCGACGCGCAGGGTCGCCCGCGTGCAGGCGGCCGGCCCGCTCCTCGCCCGCCTCCGGCGGCGCGCGCCAGGGGGGGCCAGTCCGGGGGGGGGGGGGGGAAGGGCTTCTCGGGAGGCTGCTTCTGAGGAGGCGCTGGCCCTTCGGTGGCACCTCGTGGCAGCCTCCCCTGCCATCTTGTCGGCTCATGCGGATCGACGCGGGTCGACGCCAAATCGATGCTCGTGGATTGTGCGTCGACGCTACATCGGCGCTACCTCACCGCCTCCAGGACGCTGATCGGCGCGAATCGACGCTGCAGACGGAATTAAGGGGCTATGACAGGCTCCCCCGAGTTGTTCCCGAACGGCTCCCCGCGCCTGCCAAGAAGCAGGGGGTGCTTCCAGGAAGCCACCCCCCCTTCGCCCTGCCCCCACCTGCGCGCGTGGCTGAGTCGTGAGGCTGCTGAATATCGCCTGCCTGCCGCTGCGTTGGCCTCCCCGCCTTCTGCCTCAGCTCCGCGCCCTGGGAGGTCAGAGATCCGGGGCCGACTGGCATCCCCGGGGTGCGTAGGTGAAGTGGGCTTCCATGGCCTCGCCTATGTTTGCTTGTTGTGTGTGTTGTTTACCAAGAACTCCGCAATTCTTGCTGTCGGGCCCGCCCCATCCGCCCTATGGCGCTCTCGCTCCCGGCTCCGGGTTCCCTGGTTCCCTGTTCCGGGTTCCGGGCCGATTTCGGAGGGCGGCGAGGTTCCTGGGTTCCCGGGTTCCTGTGTTCCTGGTCGAATTCGATCGATCTCACCATCGATCTCACAATCGATCTCAGTATCAATAACACAAGCGATATCACTAGAGATCGAATGAGCGTTCTCGTGATCGACTTCACTATCGATCTCATTGAATCGATTTCACTCCCGGTCTCACGATCGACCTTACAATCGTCCTCGCTATCGATTCCACTATATCATGATCAAGCTCGCAATCGAATCGGTCACAAGATCCATAGTTTCAAGTTTCAAATCATCCTCCGATTGGGGGTTCCTCCGGTGTAATGTGATTAGAGTTTGAGATGTTCGCAGGTGTTGGTTTAGAGTTGTTTAAGTTGTTTTAGAGCTTGAGATTTGCGCAGGTTTTGGCTTGAATATTGTTTGACATTTATGCTATTTTCCGAGTTTGAGATGTTCGCCGGTGTTGGCTTAGAGATGTTTTGAAGTTGGTTTAGGGTTTGGGGTTACCGCAGGTTTTGGCTTCGAAATGTTTTGAAGTTTGTTGGGAGCTTGAGTTTCCTGTTTAAGATTTTCCGAAGATGCCGGCTGGTTTTCTTGATGGATCTCCTGTACATAACTGCCGAACCTTAGACTACGATTCTCAGCCGAGAGCTTAGGGGGGGGGGCTCAGCATTAAAGACCTCTCGCGGTTACTTCTCCGTTCACCGATCCCTACATCCTCTCATTAAGCCTGTCTTAGGGGGAGGATAAGCAGGAGGCACTTGGGAGCTAGTGATGCCACAAGGGAGGCACATTGGCCCCTCCTTTGGGTGTTATGTCTTGTACTTCGCTTTTACAAAACATATCGAAGGCAATTGCCGTCGGCGTCGATATCGTCATCCGCTTCATTAATCAGTCTGTCACTGCTCCAGCGCGATGTTATGGACTCGAGCGTGCGAGCTCTCTTCCTGTCGCAAGACTCGGCGTGGCGGGCGAACCGAAGCTCGGCATGGCGCGACAGCCGTGGGGGAACGCAAGTACAAACTCACCTTGGCAAGCAAATGCGACCCTCCAAACTGGCCGTGCAACTACGAAAACACGCGCGAGGTGAGATTGCCACCCGGTGGGGAACGTCAGGAAAAAAGCAGGGTGGAGATCACCAATCGGCCATCCTTGGGAGGCTTCGGGGGACATCGAATCCGGCGCTTTGTGTAGAGAATTGTACTGAAGAGGTGGTGCGGAAATCTCCCAAACGTGATGCGCTTGTCTTCACTGGTTTTCCATCGAGGAGAGGCGGCCTTTTGGTTGCCTTTTGCTCGCGTCCTCTGCTTTCGCTCGCAGGCGCAGGTCGGCCCAGGCGGGCCTTCGGCTTGCCCCACCCCGCCTTTGCCCTCGCGGCGCCTGCCGCAGGCGTGGCCTGGACTGTCGATGGCACGTTGTGGCGAGCTGGAGCGCAGCCTTGCGCGTGCAAGCCTTCCCCTACCATCGCATTTGCAATCCGCGACGCCTCCAGTGGTGGCCTTGAACTCCGCGACGCCTCCAGTGGTGGCCCTACTCCGCATTTGAACTCCGCGACACCTCCGGGAACTGCCAAGCTGGACTGCATCGCAGACGACCTTGAGCTGCATGCCTTGTTTCTCAAATCACTCGGGTTCGCAGCCTTTTATGGGGGGACGCCAGAGCCGACCTCGATCCCTTACCAGGTGGCGCGCGGCGCGAGCGTGATCTTGGTCACTCCTGAGCGCGCGCGCGCGAACTCCTGCATCTTGCGGCGACTGCGTTTTTCCAGAGCTCCTTGTCGATTTGCGTCTTTGTGTGTTGTTGTTCTGGCAGGGTCACCCCCGTCATCCTCCCCCCAAGATAAGTTGAATGGTATACTCCCCACTCCCCCATCCTGCGCCAGGTCCTGCGACGCCTCCCCTTGTCACCCCCCTGCACCCCTCCCCCTCTTTCTCGCGCCAACGTTAGCCCTTTGGGTAACAACAAACATTTGTACCACAACTCCCCGGAACTCTCTCGGGGTGCGTTCTCACCAGAACACCGAGGCGAATCCAGCCGTGGCGACGAGGGGCTTCCTTGGATAACCCAAAATGCGAAAACGAGTAGGGCAGCGCGGTATCGGCACCATTTCCTCGCCTGAGCTCCGCCCCAGTCTTCGAGTATGGGATCGACTGCAGAATTGACTTGACTCGAAATTGATTTCCTCGTCGAATCCACAATGAGTGGTTAAACTGTTTGTAGACCTATGAACATCATGATAGTCTTGATGTATATTCGACGGTCAAAATCGATTTTATAGGGTGAACCAATCATGTAGCTTTGGACACCCTTAACGGGACCGGGAAAAACGTGTACGATGCCAAACGGCACATGCTCTCCAAAACCAACAGCGGCCACTGTTGGGCAGGAGGCCGTCTGTCTCAAATGGACAACGTCAGCGGCGACGCTTACAGCGAGTCCCGATCGAAATGAACAGGACATGCGGTCGGTCTCTGTGCCCATTCTTCCCGCACCCATCTCGAGCGCACCGAGTAGTCGATCCTCTACAGTCGGGGCGTTGACCTAAGGGACCTTAAAAAAGGAACGAGGCCCCTTGATCCCAAAAGTTGAGCTCCAATGTCCCATCGAAGACCTCAGGAAAACCGACGCCAAACGGTAAAACAATCAGGGAACACTGAGCCCCTCCCCAACGAGAAGGGTTCCTTCTTCAGCGCCCTGACTGTACTCCAGACTTCGTAATAAAGGGAGGGGGGTCTCATTTCGGGGGGGTCTCTTCCAGGCTATCGTGGAGGGCCTGGGGGGTCTGGGGACGATGTTTTGGAGGGTTCTCCCACGGGGGAGGTCTGAAATGGCTTGTCTTGGAGGGTCCAAACCCCCTTCCTTTTATTACGAAATCTGGGGTAATCGAGGTCTGACCCCCGCTCGCCGAAGCGCGCGCGCGCGACGCTGCCCCCGCGGACCTGCCCGTCGGTGACGACCTCGGCCGCGACGCCTGGCGCGGCGGCAGCGGCGAGGGGCCCTCCGCCGTCGCGGCGACGCCGAGAGCCCCCGATGGCGCCACGACTTACCAGCCTCGAACGTAACCCCTATCCCTGAGATTGACACGCCAAAAGGCGATGACAACCTCAGGGATTCGCCCTCAAAAGATAAGGGAATCCCTGGGATTGGCATCGTGATGAGGAGGTGCCCAGCATGGGGATAGGGATATGTTCCAGGCCGGTAAACGACGCCCGCTCCAACGCCAGGCGCCAGCGTCGGAGCGCGCGACGCTCGGAGGAGGAGGAGAAGGTACCGATACCGCTAGCTACCCTTGCCTCGGTTACGCCTTCTGGGGCCTCCTGGGAGGCCCTCGTCGCCACGGCTGGATGCGCCTCGAAATCTTGGTCAGCACGCACCCTGGGAGAGGTCCAGGGAGTGGCGGTGTTGGTACATTTTCGCTTCCCCAGACGCGGCGGTCGTCGGAGCGAACGGGGGTCTTGTCGACAGACTCTCCGCCGTGAGACTTGGGAGGTGACTTCTGGGAGGTCATCGCAAGAACAACTGAGGGCTAGTAACAAGCCCGACAATAGGGGGATTCAGACAGATTGAGCTTGATCAACCAGGACGTCGAGTGGATCAAGCGGGATCAAACTGAACTAAGGATAAGGCGGGAGTATGCCGGGTTAGGCCAGTTTTCGACCACGGATACACCAGCGCCAATATTGAGTTCAACATCCCAGGAGTTGCAGTCTAGCGAGAAAAGGGCCAAGCGACGAGAGACCCCCGTGTGCGAGGCGGGGATATGTTCCTATCGTCCGGCTGGGAAACCGATGTCCTGGGACCCCAGGGAACTGTGGATATGGATATACTTGGACCCCGGGGGGGGGTCCGCGAAGCTCGAATGTTGGAAGTTGGGGGGTGAGATCGAAGTGAAACGGAGATCCCCCATCCGGAAATCGATTTCCGAGACCCCCCACCTGGGCAGAGTCAGAGCAACTGTTCCTCTGCCCACCCCCCGTTGGCGTATGGTGCCTCGCGGTTGTCCCAACGTTGTCCCATGGTTGCCCCGCGGTTGTCCCGATGGTTATCCCGATGGTTGTCCCATGGTTTCCCGATGGTTGTCCCGATGGTTGTCCTGGTGGTTGTCCCAATGATTGTCCCGATGGTTGTCCCGATGACTGACCCGATGGTTGTCCCAATGGTTGTCCCGATGGTTGTCTCGACGGCTGTCCCAATGGATAGAAATGAATAAACAGTGGGATTGATAGATCCATAAATAGTAAATAGTAAGATCGGTATATTGACAGTGGAGTCAAACAAAAAACTCGATTTACATACATATATATATATATACATAGATGTACATCGACATACAACTAGCATCCCGCAGATGCGGATACGAGTGCGAAGGCGGTGGAGACGTCGGCAGTCTGCGAGACTCTGGAGAAGCCAGCCGCAGGCGCCAAAATTTCACAAATTATGCTACAAGCCCGCGGCAAGCGCAGTTTTTTTTTCGTTACAGTCGGACATGATTGGACAGGACACGCGACAGGACACAAGACCCTTCCGCGGTCCACATTGCCATAGGAATGTAAGAGACATGGGTCGCAAGGCACAGGACACGAGGGTACCCTTGATCTGGCAGGGTCGACCTACTGATCCGGGCCGACTCTAAACCAAAGTGGTTAGGTCGCGGGTGGGCCGCGGGTGGGTCGCAAATGGGTCGCGGGTGGGTCGCGGGTGGGTCGCGGGTGAGTCGTAATTGGGTCGCGAGTGGATCGCGGGTGGGTCGCGGGTTGGTCACAAGTGGGTCGCAGGTGGGTCGCGGGTGGGTCGCGGGTGGGTCGCCGATGGGTCGCGGGGTTGGTCGCGGGTGGGTCGCGGGTTGGGTCGCGGGTTGGGTCGCGGGTGGGTCGCGGGGTGGTGGGTCGCGGGTGGGTCGCGGGTGTGTCGCGGGGTGCGTCGGTGATGGGTCGCGGGTTGGGTCGCGGGTGGGTCGCGGGGTGGGTCGCGGGTGGAACGCGGGGGGTGGGTCGCGGGGTGGGTCGCGGGGTGGGTCGCGGTTTGGGTCGCGGGTGGGACGACGACAACAAACAACAACGACAACAACAAGGGAACGCTGGCTTTCTGAGTCCCTTCTAATGGGGCGAACTTTCCCGTCGCTCCCCACAGGAGGTACTCCAGATTTCTGACGCTCCATCTGGGGAAGGGGGGGGGAGAACCGCATCGCATCGCACTGGCTTCCGGGCCGGCCTCCGATGGAATTGGTTCGATTGCCAGATCCCATCGACGAGGCTGATACGCCTTCAAGCACCGAACATTCCCAGGCCATGTCGCTCCCACTTAACCTCGGCATCGACTATTACTCAAGAAGCCTGACAAAGAGAATATTGTTCAGAAATCCTTTTGTTTATGAAAACCCCCTACTACATAATCGCCCGTAGGAAACATTAGTCCAGAATCCTCGCTAAGAAATCTTAACTCAATCATGCTTACGGAGACAACCTGAGTAAAGAAGCCTTACTGCGGGAATATTAATCAAGAGTCCTTACCCAGAGAACCCTACGAATGAATCCTGACGATGAAGTTTTAGTCAAGAGCCTTTACTACAAAAGTACGAATGACGGACTTGGTCTGCGGGGCTCTTACTCAAGAGCCCGTACTAAGAGCACCTTATTAAAGAAGCTTTACTTCGGGAATTTGAACCAAGAGTCCGCACTCAGGGAAGCTTACTGAATTCGTAGCATGGGAACATAACTCAAGAGTCTTCACTCAGAGCTTACCACAAAAAAACTCCCATGGGAGTATTACTCAGGAATCCTTACTAAAACGACTTTAGTGAAGCATCCTTGATACAAGACTATTGCTCAAGAGCACGTACTAACAAAACCGTCCCAAAGCAACTGTACAACGGGACTATTACTCAAGAGCCCTTACTAAGAGAACCTTCAACAAGAAGCCTTACTACAGAAATAGGACTTAAGAGTCACTACGATGGGAGTATCAACCATCAGTGTGTAGTAAGAGAACATTAGTGGGCAATCATTCTGACGATAACATTACTCAAGAGTTCTTACTCAGAGACCCTCAATGAAGAATCCTGACGATGGGAATCGTACTGAAGAGTTCTTTGAGAGAAACTGAATGGAGACTCCTTGCGATGGGAGTCTTCCTCAATAATCCTTACGGAGAAAGTATTGAAACAAAAGCCTTTCTACGGGACTCTTACTCGAGAGTCCTCACTAAGAGAACCTCAATAAAGAAGCCCTGCTGCGGGAATGTTGCGAAAGAGTCCTTACTCAAAGAACCATCTTAATGAATTCTGGCGGTGGGAGTCTGACTCGGGAATCTATGATAGGAATACCTCACTGTAGAATCCGTACTACGGGTCTCTTACTCCAGAGCCCGTTTCAAGAAAACCTGAATGAAGGATCCCTCCTATTTGATTATTACTCAAGTGTCCTTAATAAGAGAAGTTGAATACAGAACCCTCAGCAAAACAATGTTACTGCGGAATCCTTACTCACAAAACCCTTACACAGAATCCTTAATATGGGAGTCTCGCTCAAGAGTTCGTACCACGAAAACCTGAAAGAAGAATATTCATGCCAACCTCATCTGCCTCCCCCTCCCATACTGACCCTCATCACTCTTATCCACGCCGTCCTCGTCCAGATGCTCATTCTGCTCATCGACGTCCTCCTCCCCCCCCCCCCCCTACCACCGCCACCAACCGCGTTGCTTATAGTTGTCCTTCCTCTGTCCATCACCGTTCAAATCTTGGCTATCCACCATCCCTCGCTCCCCCTGAGCGTACGTCCTACATCCCTTAGAACTCCCAGCCCACACCCTCCATCGTCGTCGTCATCCTCATCATCATCATCATCATCATCAGCTGCAGCAGCATGGCCATCATCATCAGCATCCTCACCATCACCACCATCATCATCAGCATACCATCATCATCAGCAACAACTGCAGCATCATCATCCACAGCAACATCCTAATCGGCATCAGCAGCAGCACCCTCATCAGCATCATCATCATCAACATCATTATCATCATCATCATCATCATCATCATCATCATCATCATCATCATCATCATCATCATCATCATCATCGCCAGCAACGTCATCATCATCAGCAGCAGCAAAAGCAGCATCATCATCAATATCATCATCGTCGTCGCGATCACCATCGTCACCACCACCAATCATCATCAGTATCACCATAATCGTCGCCGTTAAAGTCAACGCCATCATCATACCATGCATCGTCAGACTCATCAGCATCATCATTATCACCATCAATATTATTATAATCACCGCATCATTCAGCATCGTCGCCACCACCACCCGTGTCATCCCCATCAGCGTAAGCAGCAGCAGCCGCTTCATTGCCATCGTCATCAGCATCATCAACACCATGTATCATGAGCATCGTTGTTCTCATCGCCATCGTCATCAATCACAACATCATTACCGTCGTAGTCAGCATCGTCACCATACCTACCCGTGCCACTGTAATCAACACCCTCATCGCCACAATCATGATCACCATCCTCAACATCGCCAAAATATGACCAAACCACTCGTCACGCGCACCAGCAACGGTATCATCACCAACTTCGCCATCACACTCGTAATCGTCGTCAACATCAGCAACACATGCACCGTCATCACCATCGACAACATTTATCATTCACATAACCACCGCTAGCATCACCACCATCATCATCAACATCACATCGTCAACAACCTGATTAACAGCATCACCATCATCATCAGCAGCAGCAGCATCAGCATCAGCATCAGCATCAGCATCATCATCATCATCATCATCATCATCATCATCATCATCATCATCAGTAGCATCACCATCACCATCGTCGCCATCATAATTAATCGTGGCAATCATCATCATGGTCATCACCAGTAGCATAATCACTGCCATCTGCCCCCCCATCACCAACAGCAACATCAACACGATTCAACATCACCAAGGGCATTGT